GAGTTGTATATGATGTATGGAAGATTTGTGATTTATTTAGAGAGGAAACGCACGAGTGGATTGTGAGTTTGAAGTTTTTGGCCAGAAATTGCAGCAATGGAGGTTTTTGTGCAAGTTATGAGTTTAAGGGATTTTGAGGGTGCTTCAAGGCTTGTAAAAACCGTGTGTTAGGTTGAAAATGACTTGTCTATTTATAGAGAAAAGTTTTGAGGGAAAGAGAACATCAGATTCAAGAGATCACATGTTATGGTTTTGAAACTTGTTTTTGAGGCAAACTTGAAATGCATAGTTTCAATGTGAAGTACAAGGACTTGCATGGTGGTTAACAGGTTGTAGATGGTTGCTTCTTCAATTTAAAAGGGAGTGTGATCAGAAGGAAGAAGTGAAAGGCTAAAGACAAGTTGACTTTATGATTAAAGTTGGATTTTCTAAAATGGAAGTGTTATCTTTGTGCCAAAATGGATTAATCACTTGGACATTGGCTCAAATTCTTGGATAAAAGCTCAATCAGTTGTGTAAATAATTAATTATAGAGTGATTTACAAGTTAAAATCCTGCAAAGCAAGATTTATGCAGCATGGCTTGAGGTTGGATCATGCATTCTTCATGAAAATGTCTTGTAATTTAAGAATGGATGCTGAACTTCTTTTCTTCGATTCTCCTAGCTCAAGCATGATCTATTCAAGTTCTTTGACATTTTGGAAATCTTGAAACATTGTATACAACCTTCATGTTGACCACTTTGGATAAATCAAATTGGAGCAAGATGAAAAATTGCCAAGAAGTTGGGACAAAAAATCTGCCTAACTTGATGAAAATTTCACTAAGTGTTTTAGTAAAAATGTCATGACTTCATTAGCCTATATCTTCAAATCCAAGCATTTTTTAGACATCAACCCTAAGGGACCAAGTTGTAGAATTCATAAAGATCTACAACTTTCATGTTGAATGTTTTCCTTGAAACATCTTGCATCTTGGTAAAAAATTGTCGTGAAGTAATGAAATTATCAAGGTTAAAAACACTTAGAAATTTTTTCTAAGTCTTGAAACTTTGACTTTTTATGGACTTTCTTGACTTTCTTGATTATTGTTGACCAAGATTTATATTTTTTAATTTCTTTATGAATCTTGACTTTTGTAATTCAATGTTAACCAAAAAGTCAAAGTTTGACTTGTTGTGTATCAATTGACTTTTCATAAGTTGATCAAAAATTCAACTATCAACCTTTTGATCTTGAGAAATGATTTGAGCCATGAAATTAGGTCAACATGTTGTGTTTGAGTCCTTGAGATCATGCTTTAATTTATTAGTTCATGTACTAGGTCAAAAATCAATGATCAGTCATTCTCAGTCAAAACCCTAATTTTGACAATTTTTCCCCTTTGATGATTTGAGTGCTTTTCTTGAGGAATTGTGATCAACACATGATCAATTTATGAATATAACTTCAAAATGTTGATGTTGGCCAAAAATCATAAAGTTTGACTGTATATTAACCACAATTGACTTTTTACCCAATACAGCTGATTTTCAGTCATCTGAGCAATTGACTAAGCAAATTTGTGATGCAAGACTTGAAACTTGGTATGAGAAATCTTGGAGACCTATGATGAATCATGAAAGTCATTTGAGGCATCAAAACTCCAATTTCCCTTTAGAAAACGAAAACACTAAATTGTGCACCCAGTGTTTAGGAGGTGAGCTTGTCTGATCAAACTCTTGAGAATTCTTGAGCATTTAAGATCTATGATGAGAAATGTCTTGAGAATAGAGAGGGAAAATTTTGGGTTACAACAACAGCCATGTCTTTAATTTTTATGGCCTTCTCCACGCCAGTAACTCACAAAGCCCAATCCCCAGACATTTCTCCATGAATCCATTTTCCTGATTTTTCTCCATGCACGTCATGGACACTAAGGTCACGAACAGGGGAATATAAAATCACGGCAGTTCTACGATTAAAGGGGGGAGAGTTTTTGCGAGAGGATTGTTTTAATTAGATTTTAAGCGGAGAAGTTTACCATGTAAAAGTTGTAGTTTCTCATATAGAGGAACTACCACACCATTAGTTTTAGGTGTTCTTGTTTTTATTATTATTATTATTTCAATTCTATACCTGATTTTCAAGCGTGCCAATATATTATGAATTCAGTTCCTATTATTGTATGCAAAGATAATTTCAGAAGTTAATTCCAGTTTCATTTATTCCATTTTCTTTTACAGGTTTCTCTTTATTACATTTCTTATTTCTATTATTTCATTTTTTAATTTAATTACCATGATGTTCCTAATTGCAATCGTTATGTTTTGTTTGTTTACACTTACTTCCATGTTTGGATAAACTGCCTTGAGTCCGGTATCTGAGGATCTTCGTCTCCGATGGGACTCAGTAACGAAGTTGGCTTAAATCTTTATTTGAAAATTATGTTTTGGTCTTTGTTTTTAAACTTAATTTAAATAGCCTTGTAACGAGAGTGAGAGGTTACTTAACATGATTTTGCCACGAGAGTGTGAAATTAACTAATGTTTGAGATGACTTTACGAGAGCGTGGGGGTCGAACCGGATAGTAGAAACTAGGCATTAATTCTAAACACAGCGAGAGTACTTTAGGATTAATTATAATTTATTGGTTTTCAAAAATTATTTTTAAATTTCAAATAAGACAGTGAGAGAAAATCATTTTTGTTTAAGAGTATAGTCAGAGTCAATAACACGACAGTGTGAGATAAAGTCTTTTAAATCAGTATTTTCTACTAAACCCTTTTCTATCTTCAGTGTAAGGCAACAAGTTACAGAGTCTCTAAGATATGCGAAATACACATTCTAGTATCTCTTTATTATCATATTTTCTAAGTTTACTTTAGTTCTATCTTTAGTTCCCTTTAATCAATTATTCATTAGCCTTATCTTTACAAAGTGACGATAAATTATAGTAGGTTGACATTGATCTTTGTGGGTTCGACAATCTTTTATATTACTTCGATATTTCCGTGCACTTGTAGACGCATCAACAGACTTCAATTGGAATGTCAACTTTTGGTAACCCTAAAACTATATTTCTTATTTTCAAATCTCTGATGTCTTTGAAATTGAGATGGCCAAGTCTATAGTGCTATATCCATTCATCCATGCTAGCTGTAGTTTCAAGGAACTTGTGCTCCATCACATTAAGTATAATCTTGAAGGTTCTATTCAGAGATATAGGAGCCTTCAAGATTAATCTTCCACCTGAGTCAAGAATCTTATCATCTTATCTCTAATCGACACATTGTAGTTCTTTTTGACCAACTACACTATGATAAGAAAATTGCTTTTCATGCTAGGTATATAAAATACATCAGAAATTACTGACCTTTTTCCACACTTCCTCATTATTATAACATCACTAATACCTTCAGCTGCTAGAGTATTATCATTTGCAAATTCCACCATGTTCTTCATAATGGGTTTTATGTTGACAAATCAATTTTTCATACCAGAAATGTGCGATGGGCATTTTGAATCCAAGTACCATTGGTCCTTGAATATTTCTTCATCTCTAGTTGTGACCATCAACAATTATCTTCTTCTTCATGCTTTGCAAGCTTTTCATCATGTCACTATTATAGCCATAAAAAATGTAGCGGTGTAAATCGGAGATCGAGCTATTAATTAACTCGACTCGCAAAAGAAAGAGTTGCCACCGTACTTTATTATTTCCAAGGGAAAAGGGAAAAGAGCGTAATAAAACCCTTAAATATGCAATGTAAAGTAATACTTAAAAGTAATGAAAATACAATGTGTTTTTGAAAGAGATCGAAGGTTCGGGGGTTGATTATACAATGGAAAGGTACTAGAACCCAATGCATTTGCAGTACTCCAATGGACCTTTTGAAATATCTGTTTTTCGGTTAAAAAAATTTTGTTTGGTTAAAATGGTTAGTTTGGTCAAAATGGGTGTGAATGAGATTTTGGAGATACGACGACCTAGTATCGAATTTTTGAATTAAAAGGTGTGAGTTCTAAAATTGAGTCTTGTAGGAAAGTTAACTTAAGGTTAACAAAAATAGTAAAACAAAAATGAACTAAGGGATTTGTACAATCGTATTACATATATATTTGATGACATGAAGTCAACAAAGTTAAAATATTTCCCTTGGAATTTATACGGACGAAAGATATAAAGATTAAACAACGTTAATTAGAATGACAATTGTATAGTTAAGTAAGTAACAAAAATTAAATAAGAGATTAATTTATACTAACATTTATTTTGAACAATTAAATAAATAACAAAATTAAAAAAAAAACTAATTTAATAGCATATATTTTTGAACAATTAAATAACAAAAATTAAGTAAAAGATTAACTTAATAGCAAGTACTTTTGTATTTTTATCATGGCATGAAATAATTATATATAAAAATAAACTATGTTAATATTTTGTTATCATACATTTAATAGAATTGGGAAATAAGGCTAAAAGAACTAAAAAATAAAATAAAATGCCCCAGCATGGGGATAGAACTCGGGTCCCTTAGGTTGCAAAAGACATGCCTTGCCAATGAACTATTATTATTTATTTGTTATGTCTATTCTCTAATTAAAATAAAAGGTGATGATGATAAGGATTAGGCCAACATGCCGATTGGGGCTGACCCGGTTTGAAAGAGAACAAGGAAAGGTTTTTTTTGAAAACCCTAAACATGATAAAGGCGTCGCTTGGCTGTCTTGGGAAGGGAAATATCACATAATAAATTATCATTATCTTCAATAAAGTTTAATTAAAAGAAAGTTGAAACAAATATGCAATCCTTTCTCTCTCATATGTATCATCTTCATCATCTTCTACCACTTCAAATCTGCAACATAGAAAACACCTCCAACACCACTAACCTTCCTTTTCAACACTCTCAAAATATTCATCTCATCTTCTTCCCTTTTCAAACTAGAAACCGAATCAAGATTATGAAACTTCACAAAATAAGCTTTTTTCATCTCATAAGGAACTTCACCTCTCTAAAATCTTTCCATCAACTCACCAATTAGTCCTTCGGTTAACGCAACGGTATCACCGATTATCACAATGTTTCTCTTCTTCTTCCTCAAAAGAACATCAAAAACAAGGTTAACATTAACATCATCTCTAGGATTATTACCATTATTATTGTTAAACACTTGTGGTTTCTTCTGAGGAGAAAAAAGAACTGAACCATAACCATAATCGTAACCATAACCATAAGAACTCGAGAAATGGTTATTATGACTAAGAGAAGGTGAAGAAGAAGAATGAAAAACAGAAAGCTTAGAGTTTAAAGAGCTTCTTTCTGTTAAGTTATTTTTAACAGAAACACTTTGAAAAACAGCTTCTCTCATAACCCTACTCACAGAAGGGTCATCAAGAATACTAAGAATAAGCTGATCAAGCTCAACCTTAACACTCAAAAGAGGTTGTTGTTGATTTTGCTCGATACTCCCCCTTCTTTGATGAGCTTGATCTCGTTCAAGAGCATAAATAAGAGCATTAAAATGAGAAGGAACATGCTGATGAGGTTGAAACAAAGGAGAAGAATTAGTAGTAGTGATAGTTGGAAGCATGTTGAGAGTAACATTGAAACAAAGTTCAAGAGCTCTAACAATGAAGAGGGTGGTTATGGTTATGGTTATTTTGTTGCTGAGATTTGAGACATGTGGTTCTTAAAGAAAAAGATGATAAACTCAACAATGTAGCAGCAACATGAAGAGGTGTGATTTGTGCATGGCCTCTTCTATGTGCTAAGCCTAAAGAGTGCTTCAAAATTGAAGCAGTCTTGGTTGTTAGTGTCTCTTGCAATGTATAAGCTCATGAGCACATTGCTTTGCTAATTACTCCCCCCTCTCATCCCCAAAACTTGAGAGTTTCTTCACTACTACACTGCTTTTTTTGTTCACTCTTATGGTTTTTTTCCCTCTCTCCACCACCACACCCCCACAAAATGGTTTGAAAAATCAGAGAATGAGAAAGAAAGTGTTGAGGTTTCTTATGAATTCTTTGTATTTTTGTGTCATTTCCTATACATTTCTGTCAGTGTTTATTGTTATTATTATTATAAACATTTCTAAATATCAACATATTGCAGCAACTCAAAAAATACAGCAAAGTGATAAATTAAGCATTCATATGGCATAAAAAAAGTGGTGCAAAAAGAAGATTCAAGCATGAAAGTGATGATACTGATGGATATATGAGAACATTATGCAGAAGTAATAGGGAGAAGAAATACTTATCGGAGTCTCTCCGATGGAGCTTCAAAAACAATAAGTTCTCCCTCCCTCTCTTGTTGATGCTCAAGCTTCTTTGACTCTGATTATTTTCTGTTGTTCTTGAACAAACTTCCCTCTTTTCTATTTTTTTCTCCTTCTCTTTTTTTGTCCATGAAGATGGCCCTTTTATAGTGAATCATGTGATGTTTTAGCGGCGGGGGGGGGGGGGGGGGGGGGGGGGGGGGGGGGGGTGAGACATTTGAACAATTATGAATGCCATGTTTCAATGCTTTTTTCATACAGTTTGAGCTGCCATTTTAGTGTAACCTCTAGGCTGTTATGATGCAGGGCATGAGGCTGTAGTAGACTAGTTTATAGCAGTTTTTGGCAGAATTTGGACCATTGCAGCTACTGTATTTTGGACTAATTTGTAGCTTCTTTTTTTTTTTTGCAGAATTTGGACTGGTATTGGCTACTGTTTTGGACAGCCAAAGTACCACAAAAATTGGACTGCTTTGTAGGGGGCTGCAACATGATATTGGGCTTATTTAATTGTTGGACATTGATACTTTTTTGGATCAATATTGAAGCTTTGAAATTAATATCAATAGGTCTAGAATTTAACTTTATATGTAACATGAATGGAAACTTGTCTTAAATATAATTATCTCAATTCCTTTGTAATTGTAAACACTTTGGATCATTATTTGTCTTGATGAAATTTGAAATCTTCCACTTGAATTTGGAAAGGAATTGATTGATACTTGAATGAATTTTTGAATGATGAATAAATAATGATGCAAGCCTTAAGACCTCAATCTTGCATTTTATATTAGAGATTCAAATGAATTACATGAATTGATCTTGTAATGAAGTTGTAACCATCATGTATTTTTTCTTGTGATGAATGACAAATTTGAATCAAATTTATCTTTTCAATATCTCCTTTAATAAATGCCTCATGTGAATTCAAACGGCCATGGTGGGAATCCATAAAAGTAATCACACAAAAATAATCTTGAATAAATACAATGTGATGAATGATTTGAATTTTGAATGAACCCTTTTGATAACTTCTACTTAGTTAACACTTGAATTCACATGATGAAAATTCCAAGTATTCTAAATAAATTCTTCCAAAGCGATCTTGAATTTAATCACCCCACTCTAACGAAATTCACCCTGCGTAATGTAAGTATAAGAAATCGAACCAAACTTAAAAGCTTCGAATGATCACTAGAAGAGGGATTTGAGGCGAAATGTTATCGCATTGAGAAATACTTAGAGATCAAGAAACTCTTAAATCATGAAAAACATCCTATAAAGTCTTTTCATGGCTTTCTAAACACAATTTGTCTTCAACTTTTAAAGAAAACTTGCAAACGACTTTTGGTCGAAGTCCTCGGAATTGACTCGCATAGACTGATCTTTTCTTGTATTTCAAGGAAAAGTAAAACACACGTGAACCAGTGATCATGGAACCTTGACTGTTTTTATGAAGAACTTCGGAGAAGCTTAAGGCCACTTGTTGAACAGAGCATGGAAATAAACACACGATTCTCTGAAAGTTCCCCGAAACAAGCTATCACACTCGAGACATTTGTGATCATAATAATCCTGAATGATATTTGAGACTCCGTGCTCTGAAATTAGAAGTTGGCCTTGATGAATCAGTCTTCGAGAATTAATGATCAACTGTACTTCTAGCTTGAGAGACTTAAAACCCTAATTGAGGCGTGATGCATGATGCTCTTAATTCAGACATGTTTCTGCACATGAAATCAAAGAAACAAAAAAGTACACTTCGTTCTTGATTAGAAGTTAGTCATGCATAAGATGAAAATGTTCAAAACACTCGATAATCTCTGCACAGGTAATGCTTGAACGTGAGAAGTTCAAAATCGACCATATTTCGTGACCTTGATGTATATAAAAAAATGAAAATGAAGATGGGATCTTAGGTCAAAAATTGGGGTATGACAGTTGTCCCTATTTAAGTGTTTTCTATCTGAAGATGCGAAGATTGAATCTTCGTCTCGATGAGATTGAAGGGACTTAAATATAGAATACGTAATTTTTGGCCCTAAGATACCACCATTGTGTTTATGATATGAATTTAATATTTGAATCTTATAAGGAATGATGCCGCATGAGACAAACTAATGCTGGAGAAATCAAGCACATGAAAAAAAAATAATCCACAGGGGAAGATATTTTAACTCTACTGGAGAAACAGAGCCACAAACTTCGAATGAGAGACTCTTATTGGAGAATAACTTCGAGAGAAAACAATTTTTGATTCTAACAAAGAAAACGACTTGCATAGGCCATAAAAAGATAGATGGTCACTGACTTGAGATGATGGTGAGTTTATAACTCAGGGGCAAAAGGTAGACAAAAAGATATACCAACTTTTATTGATAGGGAACTACCAATTTTTAATGAAGGTAGAGATTTCATAACAAACTTCTCTGTGGGACTTTTATGGAGAGATACCATTTGCTGCTGAAATAACATATTGTTATGGATACACAAGCTTCTCAAATAAAAAGGCCGTCACTTGCTATCTTCAAAGGATATTAATAAACACACAAGCTGCTCATGAAGAGACCACTTCTTGTTGTCTTCCAAAGATATCAATAATATACAAGCTGGTCATGAAGAGTCCGCCACTTACTGTCTTCAAAGGATATCAATAACAAACAAGCTGCTCATGAAGAGTCCGCCACTTTCTATATTCCAAAGATATCAATAATATACAAGTTGCTCATGTAGAGTCTGCCACTTGCTATATTCCAAAGATATCAATAATATACAAGCTTCTCATGAAGAGTCTGCCACTTTTTGTATTCCAAGGATATAAATAATACACAAGCTTCTCATGAAGAGTCCTCCACTTGTTATTTCCAAAGATATCAATAACACACAAGCTGCTCATGAACAGACCTCCACTTGTTATCTCAAAGGATATCAATAATATACAAGATACTCATGAAGATTCCGCCAGTTGTTGTCTTCCAAAGATATCAATAACACAAGCTGCTCATGAAGAGTCTTCCACTTGTTGTCTTCCAAAGATATCAATAACACAAGCTGCTCATGAAGAGTCTGCCACTTGTTGTCACGTCGATATTCCAGAAGAAAGTTGTGATAACACTACTAGGGAATAAAGTTCTTCTTCAATGGGGAACCATGAATAGGTCCTTCCTGAGGAGATCAAGTATTTAAATGCGCAAAATAAATACGCTCTTTATCTAGATTTCACAGCCTAGAGAAAACCACGGGGTAGCATATGTAAGAGACAAAGCTCAATCCAGGAATAAACCGAAGAGAAAACAATCAAACAAGACTCCACCCAATGAGGAAATAACTCAATTATGGATTTATCCTATCCAGAGATGGAAAAGGAAGGCTAAAGCAAGATTCTTCCATGAGGATTAGCTTAGTTGGGGAATTAGAAAGGAGACACACTTTCTTCTTAAGTTGACACTCTATTTGGAAATGGGAAATACGTTATTTGAATAGACATAAACAAGGTATGCAAACCTAATAACATCGACAAATACGAATGTGCGTACATGATGCAAGTGTGAATGAATAAACGAGTGTCATGTATCTGCTGACAAAACAGATAGAGGAAATAAATTGAAGATGATAAGACATCACAATACAACCAGATACTCGGCTAATCTCAAAGAGATGAGAAAATAACTGGAGATAGAACGAAAGGCATCGTGGAAGCGTATCATATTACAAGGCTCAAATCTATTTTAAGAGGACCATACCCGAATTCCAATCGTCTAACATCAATAAACCACTGACATGATAACAAAATGTACTTCACTTTGGTTAGGGAGAAAAATCTTGCTCAACTAGAGATAACTAAATCAAGGCTTAACCAGGATTGTCGGGGAGTCACCAAGTTTAGTACTCTACTGGGAACACAAGATCACACAACCAACTCGTCATGATGATTTTGAAGGAAGAACCATTATTCATCATATAAGGATGAATTACTATATTGTTTTGCATTTCAAGGCTTAACCATTCTCGGAGAAACTGTTAATATTCCTTCCAGTATTCACGACACATTTCAAGATAGGAATACTCTATTTAACTTTGTTTCAAATATTTCTATAAAAACTGAAATTTTGTCCGATAGAAAAAACACAAAAAAGGATAAATGCTCAAATTCCATTCATAAGATGGTAGTCCGCTAATGGCGCGACTCCAAAGGTTTACAAAATTTTGGAAATGATACATGAAAGAAAAGGTTACAAGAAAATAATGACCACTATTCTCCCTAACAACTTTGAACTCCAAGATGTTCTCAAATTTGCTGTGTCTGGTATGAT